GCACACAGAGCTGCCCCGTGGCGTAAGGCAGATCAGCTTTTTGTTTGTTTTTGGTCCGCCAAAGAAAGGATCTCCGGCGACCAAGCAGACTATGAGTAGGTGGGTGGTCGAGGCCATCTCACTAGTTTACGAGTCCTCTTGCCTCCCGTCACCTATGGGGGTCAGAGTGCACTCGACCAGGAGTATGGCGGCCTTCAAGGCTTTTAACTTGGGTGTGGCCTTGCAGGACATTTGTGCTGCGGCGGGCTGGTCCTCTCCGCACACTTTTGTCGATTTTTACAACCTAGACCTGGCATCTACCCCAGGTTCCCAAGTTCTCTCTTCGTGATGTGCTCGCAAGATACACACACAGGCAGGGACTTGGTAGTATGGCGCAGTGGGTATTCTCGTTCCCAAAGCGACTTCGACGCAGCTCGAATTCCTGAAGGGGAACGTCTCTAGGTTACGTATGTAACCATGGTTCCCTGAGGGAACGAGACGCTGCGTCTCTTTGCCATACTCCCTGCATCCCTCCAGGCGCTACTTCATCGAAGCTGGTTTGCGCTCTGCCGGATGCGCTTTTATACTTTCTGGTGCTTACGTCACCCCGCTCGTGACGTCTCGCTACTCCATTGGACTGATTTGACACGTGCTTCAGAACGCGGTCACGCAAGGGCGTTCCCAAAGCCACTTCGACGCAGCGTCTCGTTCCCTCGGGGAACCATGGTTACATACGTAACTTAGAGACGTGTTTTCTTGACATTATTTCACATTGCACATTATATTTTATCTCATCACATTCAATTCAGACTGCATGCATTCAGCAGCGGAAAATTGGTGCAGAAAACAAACATTTTGATCAGTAATTTCTTACATGAGGTCAACAATGAGATTAACTAAAGCAACAAAACTAACCCAAACCTTAACCTCTCTCGCTACAGACCGCATCCTGGAGTCCTAGTGGCACAGCCTGGGGTGAAAAGCAGACCAGAATACATGGATGCGGCTGACTGCACAGGTGGTTTCGTTTTTTTATGGGCAGATAATATAAAAAAAGCTTAAATTGATCTCAGCATGACCTCAAACATTGCCTTACACACACACACACACACACACACAATGGCACATATCTGCTTGGTCCCAGATAAGCTCTGTTCAGGATGCTCAAAGCATAAGTCTTTAAGTGAAAGTGTGGGCGTTTTTTGAACAGAATAAACATTGTTTTTCATGCCAGTGGTATCTGTAATGAAGCTGGAGGTTGTAATCATCTAATCTGTGTCTTAACTTAGCCTTGAAATTAACCGGGACATTCTCAAGGCTGAACCTCATGAAACACCTTTACTGATGCAGGGATGATCACTCATCCATTCTATTCTGCCCCAATAAATTTAGCTATCCCAGCATGCACTGGATGGGGTCTGTGAGTGTCATAACAGTGGCCAGCTCATTACACACGTCTTGTTTATTGATCAGCAGCACTGACTCACTGAAAACTGCTATTCAGTTAATTGAGCCCTCGCTTTGCACACTATGTCACTCTGGAAGAAAAGAAAAGCTATAAAATGTACATTTTGGGTGAAAAATAATGCGCTAGTGCCAGGTGAGAAAACAGACAAGTTTGACTAGTTTAGCTTTAAAGGGATACAGCATTTGCTCATCCACAGGTCATTAAACTGAATGTTGCAAAACAACACTGGACACCATTGACTTTCAATGTATGGGCAACAGATTTTTTTACTTAATATCATCACAAAAAAAAAAGGAAAGTCATATAGATTTGGACCAAGATGAGGGTGAGTAAATCACAAAAAATTCTTTTTTTTTTTTTTTGGGGTGAACTATCCCTATTAGTCATTGACATTCACAAATAAAACCATTTCCTAATCCGTCACTCACATGTGCATCAAGTGTGTCGAGATCAGTTCCGTGCTGTCAAGGCATTATGGAAACACTGACTGCTTCTCACATACCGTTAACAGCCTCAGATTTTGAATATGTCAAAAAAATTGCTCAAGCAGAAAGGGCTCACGTACCATCACTGGCTTCTGAGAGAAGAAAAAGAGAGAAGGAAAAGAGAGACAGTATAGAAAATACAGGTATTTTCTCATTGCAGAATTATACCATGATTAGAAGGGCCATGATGGGGCCTAGTTTCCACATTCATTAGACAGAAAAGAAGCCATTGAAGATAATCATAATTTCTGCAATCCGTCGGAAAAAGAAACCCACCTTCATTCAATTAAGCTTCTGATCTGTTACTTTGTGTTGAGGTGCTATTTCATTATTCTTTTTAATGTTTGTTAGGAACAGCATGTAATCAAAGTGTGTCACTGGAAATGGTGTTTAAAGTATGGCTGTTAGTTTGTGTAAAAACATTGGGTGGGGAGAAAAACATGAAGGAGTTAGAGGACGAATGGATGAGAGAGAGCAACAGATAAAGAGAAAGAGAGAGTTGGAGAAGGGAGAGAAGACAGGCTGTCGTTTCTCATGGGTGCTCTCGTTCATCGGCACATCTTTTGGGGCTCCACCCCTTATT